TTTGGCAACAAATTGCTCAAGTTTTGGTTGTCTGAAATGTCTTTACTTCACCTTGATTTTTAAAGAGTGTTTTTTTCTAGGCAGGGCTCTAGGTTACCAGCCATTTTTCTTCAGCACTTGGATGACATTATTTTTCTATCTTTGTCTTCCTTGTGACTGTTGAGATGTCGGCTGGGCTGTCAGCATTATTCTGCTCCTTCCATGTTATTCTTGATGTAGGGAAGGTGAGCCCCACGGTGGGGCTTAGCCCAGCGGGTTCTTGACTTTGCCCAGGAAAGTATTCAAGGGCAAGCTGGAGGTGGAAGAAAACAACATTACTGAGGCAGTGTGGCAGCTCTGTGACTGCTCCTGCAGAGCAGGGCTACCCCGAAGACAGAGAGTAGCAGCTCAGGACAGTTTACAGTCCTATTTATACCCTTTTAATTGCATGCAGATGAAGGGGCAGTTCATGAGAAATTTTAGGGAAGAGGTCTTTTGAGTCATTGAGTTATTGCCATGGAAAGGGGTGGTAACGTCTGGGTGTTGCCATGGCAATGAGATATTGACATGGCACACTGGTGGGTGTGTCTAGTTGGAAAGCTGCTTCCACCCCTGCCCTATTTTAGCAAGTCCTCAATCTGGTCCACCATCTGAGCCCTGCCTCCTACCTCATTCTGTTTCTGACTGCCGTTAGGATGTTTCTGTTTGCCTTTAAGGTCTCAACGCCTTTAAGATGTTGTGTCTTCATTTGGTAAATTGCTGTGATTCACCTAGGTGTGGTTTTTCTTTGTATTTTATCCTGCTTGGGGTTTGTAGTGATTCTTGCATATGTGGATTGGGAACCATTAGCCAGTAATTTTTCCAAATTTCTTCTCATCCTTTGTCTCGTCTCCCTCTGGGATTCCAGTCATACATGTGCTAGGCCTTTTTGCAAACTTTTCATAGTAATACATGTCTGTTGTGCTTATTCTGTGTTCTACATACTTTTGTCCTCTCTTTATATGAAATATTTTCTTCTGATGTATTACCTAGTTCACTGTCTATTTTTCAGTAGTGTCTAATGTGCTACTCGGACTTCGTTTCAGTTTTTCATTTTGTTATTGCATTAAGAATCCATTAATTCTTTTCTTATTGCTTCTAGTTCTCTTCAAAATTCTCAATTCTCAATAGGGTTTTAATTCCCTCAGTATATTAAATATGCTTTAAAGTCCTTGTCTAATACTGCCATACATAGATTCCCCAGCAGTCTGGTCTCCTGTCTGTCTTTTGCTCTTGGTTTATGGTCACATGGTCTTGTCTCTTTAGGTGCCAAGTTTTTTTATTTTTATTTTTATGGATGGAGGTCTTGCTTGCCCAGGCTGGTCTAGAACTGCTGGTCTCAAGCAATCCTCCCATCTCAGCCTCCCAAAGTGCTGGAATTACAGGCATGAGCCACCATGCCCAACCCAGGTTTTTATCAAGGGCCAGATATGGAATGGAAAAAAACTTTTTGAGGCTCTGAAAAATGCTGTCTCCCTCCAGAGAGAACCACTGTTTGATGCTGGCAGTCAGCTAGGCTAAGAGCACTGGAAATCTTGATTCAATCAGGATGAGATCATTTTAAACTGAGCTTCAGTGATTGGCCTTTTTTTTTTCTTTTTCTTTTTTCCACTTTTATTTTAAGTACAGGGGTACACGTGAAGGGTTTGCAGGTTTGGTACATAGGTAAACGTGTGCCACTGTGGTTTGCTGAATAGATCATCGCATCACCTAGGTGTTAAGCCCAGCATCCATTAACTATTCTTCCTAATGCTCTCCCTCCTCCCGCCCTTCAACCCCCAACAGACCCCAGTGTGTGTTGTCCCCCAACCCATGTGTCCATGTGTCCTCATCATTCAGCTCCACTGATAAGGGAGAACGCACATTATTTGGTTTTCTGTTCCTAATGGCTTCCAGCTCCATCCATGTCCCTGCAAAGGACAGATTGAACCTTATTCCTAATATGGAGCCTTTCAGAGTCTTAACCCAAATGCCCCAGGGGATTTACCAAGACCTCTTTTCCTTGGCGGGCCTGGAGTCTAATATTTGAACCCCAGCCCCATGAGTCTGTCAAAAGCTTTGCTCAGCTTCTCAGTCACACTGTCAGCTATAAATGCCCTCAAGGGAAAAGCAACCCCAAACGCTGGGCCTGCTTCTCTCTATTTCTCTCCTCTCTAGGATCTTAGCCTGAAACTCATTACTGCCTTTATGGTTCTCCAGTGCTTTCAGACACATGGGTTTTTAAAACATTTTGTAAAGATTTTTTACTTGTGGGTACTGAATTTTATCAAGTGATTTTTCTGCATCTATTGATATGATTGTATATCTTTTTCTCTTTTTCTTCTTTGGTAGGATCACACAGCGGGTTACAAGCTACATTATTGGATCAATTTGTTTTGGGCTTAAAAGTTTATTCAGCTTACCTTTTGCTTTCTGAGTTAATTTGGTTGTTCATGATTTTCTTAGAAAGTACAAATTTTATCAGATTTTCAGATTTATTGGCATAAGTAAATTAATGGTTTTATCTTACTGTCTTTTTCACCTCTTCTGTCACTTCTATTATTTCCTCTCAATCATTTCACATGTTGTTTATTTCCACCCTTCTCTTTGTTTTTCCTCAATCAACCTTACTAGAAGTTTGTCATTTTTATTATTTTTCCAAAGAAATAACTTTTGCCTTTGTGGATTATCTTCATTGCATGTTTTCTGTTTTATTAACTTCTGTTCTTACTTTTAAACAATATCTTTCTTTCTACTTTCTTTTATTTTTTTGAGACAGACTTTTGCTCTTGTCACCCAGGCTGGAGTGCAATGGCATGATCTCAGCTCATTGCAACCTCCGCCTCCCAAATTCAAGTGATTCTGCTGCTTCAGCCTCCCAAGTAGCTGGGATTACAGGTGCCCACCACCATGCCTGGCAATTTTTTGTATTTTTAGTAGAGACAGGGTTTTGCCATGGCAGACAGGCTGGTCTCAGGCTCCTGACTTCAGGTGATCTGCCCACCTTGGCCTCCCAGCATGCAGGGATTTTAGGCATAAGCCACCATGTCTGGCCCCTTCTTTCTACTTTATTAGTGTTATTATTCTGTTCTTTTTCTAACTTCTTGAAGTGATGCTTATCTTATTAATTTTCAATCATTTTTATTTTCCAATTTATGAAAAGTTATAAAAGTTGCCAGTCACAGTGGCTCAGGTCTGTAATGCCAACACTTTGGGAGGCCAAGATGGGTGGATCACTTGAACCCAGGGGTTCAAGACCAACCTGGGCAACAGAACAAAACCCTGTCTCTACAAAAAAATTTAAAGTTAGCTGGGCATGGTGGTGCATGCCTATAGTCCCAGCTACTTGGGAGCTGAGATGGGAGGATTGCCAAGCCCAGAAAATTGAGGCCACAATGAGCTGGGATCACACCACTACACTCCAACCTATCTCAGAAAAGAAAAGAAAAGTTAAAAAAGCATGTAAAGACATATACACTTCCAAATATTATTTTTTATATTCCTCAATCGTTGCTATTCAGTGTTTTCACTGTTCAATTCTAAATACTTTCTACTATCCTTTATGGCCACTTCTTTAATCCATGAATTATTTCAAAGCATATTTTCTAATTTCCAAATGAACAGCTTCATTTGGCCTTCTCTTTTTGAGTTCTGATTTTGATTGCTATCTGCAGAGTACACGTTCTGTGTCATACTGATCCTTTGCATCTGTGGAGCCTTGCTGTGTGGCCTCATAGGTGATTGGTGTCTATGAATGTTCCACGTGTGTTTCAATAGTGTGTGTATTTTGTTTCTGCATCTGTTTGCTCAAGTCCACGGATGAAGTTGTTAAAATCATCTATATTCTTCGTAGTGTACTGTCAGCCTCCGGCTGCTCTATGCTGGGCTCCTACGGTCTTGCAAGTGCAAGTCCCCCCCTCACTGGGCTCCACCTTCCATGAAAACTCCAGGTGTCTTGGCAAAGCCTGAAGGAGTAGGAGCCAAGTCCCTGCCTCCCCCGCATGAGACATTGTGCCCGTCTCTGGTGTTGCTACCTCCCCAGGCTGTGTTGGAGATGGAGAAGCAGAGAAGGAGGAAGGGCAGCCAGATGAGGGGAAAAGCCAGCTCCTGGTCATTCACGTCTCCAGGCCTGATGTTGGCCTGAAGTTAGAGACGAGCAGAGCTAGACCTGGGAAGGGGGACACTGGGCTGTGCTTCAGAGAGCAGTCACTAGACTGGACTGGATTTTGTATAGTATCGTCAAAGAATTACCCAAAACACTATGGAGCCTACCTGAGGATTTCATCCAGGGGAGGAGAAAATCAGAGCCCACCAAGCAAGTTTAAAAGAGCAGTCAGAAAAAGAGTAAAGTTTGTTTCTATATGCCCAGTGCATTAAGTAAATACGTATCTTAAAATCTTGAGGTGCAGCCAGATTCTAAACTCCCATTTGTTCCCAAAAATGCCCATTGTATATAATACCTGTGTAGTTTTAATAACTGCAAAGGCAGTGTTGTAAGCTTTTTACGCACAGTCACACAATTAGTCTTCAGGAGTCCTCTGGAGTAGGTATCAATATAGCTGTCTCCATTCTACATATGGGATAGAAAGAGGCTAAGTCCTCTCCCACGGTCACAGCTGCCAAGCAGTGCAGCCGGGATGGGACCACTACACGCCATGGCCCATCCCAGGGCACCTGAGGCAGGTGCAGATGGCTTGCATCTGCTGGTCTTTTCCCCTCGATCCTGCAGAACAGCAGCTCACAACTGGGAGTACAAATCAAAGTCACTCTGCAACTTTTGCAAAAGGCACAATGCCAGCACTTAGCCAGGTCTTGAACAGAGAAGGACCATGGAATGGACCTTAGATAAAAGCCCCCGAGATGATTCCCAGGACAACCTTAGTATGCATAGGAGGTGCCCGGATCCTCGAAGGCCTTCTCATGAAACAAAACGTCCTTTTGCAGCTCCTTATGCAGTTTACTCCCCCTTGTTTGACACATCTTTTCTATGTCATTCCTTTTAGGTTCCTCCTTCCACCAAAGCAGATGTCAAGACAGAGACAGTCGAAAGGAAAATATCTGCTAAGGAACAAGCAACATCTGACAAGGAAGAGCTAAACAAGAAGAAAAAGAACATGACCGATGTCAGTGTGCATGGGTTTCCTCTTGTCCAGGATCAAGAGGACAGCGAAGGGGACATCTCGAAGGACCCCGAAAAGCAACTGGCCCAGAAGTTTAAGGCCTATGAGTTGACGCTGAAGGACATCCAGAACATCCTCATGTACTGGGACCGGAAGCAAGGAGTCCAGCTGTCTCCCGTGGGGATGGAGGATGTGCCCCATGAGCCCGATGACCAGCGCCAGGTCCCCTCCAGTGGGCGCAGGGGCCGCAGGGACCGGGAGAGGGAGCGCCTGGAGAAGGAGCGGGCGGAGAAGGAGCGCCTGGAGAGGGAAAAGGCAGAGCGGGAGCGCCTGGAGAAGCTGAGAGCCCTGGAGGAGCGAAGCGACTGGGAGGGGGAAGGGGAGGAGGACCACGAAGGGAAGAAGGAGAAGGACCTGGGCGTGCCCTTCCTCAGTATCCAGACACCAGACTTTGAAGGCTTGAGCTGGAAGCAGGCCCTAGAGAGTGACAGGCTTCCCAAAGGGGAGCAGGTATGGACCCTCCTCCAGGGTGGGGAAGTCACAAGTCAGGTAGCAGGCACTGTGTTAATATCATCAGGGATGTTTCTCCCTACCTGAAACCCATATCCCCTCAACTTCATTCATCTCTGATGCCCCCCTTGGAATTAAGACAGTAATGACTAAAGGACCTTTCCTACTTGGCAAAAGAAAATTCACAGAAAGTGTCACACATCTAAATGAGTCCATCCAACCTTACAGAAAGCCACTTGTACGGTTGATTTTTAATATTGATAATATGGGTGCTACAGAATGGCAAGGCAAGTGAGGATTTGGGGTGAAGCAAGAGACCCATCCACTCCAAAATTTTTTTCCCACAGGCCTCCACAGTAACAGAAATCATCCTATTAGTTCTTCGTTCCTATAAACAAAAGTATCATATATCCAAAAGCCACCTTTGGGAGCAGTTTGGAGGAGAGGCTTATTACAGCCTTTTGTCCAGGTACAGGCTTTTTCTGTAAAGGACTAGAAGGTATTTTAGGCTGCAGGTGATACTGCCTCTATCACAACTACTCCACTCAGCCTTCAAAGGGGGAAAGTGACTGCCAGCAATGTGTAACTGGAAGGGCATGGCCATGTTCCAATTCACGTCTATTGAGAAAAAGTAGCAGGCCAGATTTAGCCAGGGTACCACAGTTTGCTGCCCTCTGGTTTCGCTCATCACAAACCAGGTGCAAGGTTTGGTTTGGTTTGGTTTGGTTTGGTTTTATTTTGTTTTGTTTTGTTTGAGATGGAGGCTCGCTCTGTCACCAAGGCTGGAGTGCAGTGGTGCGACCTCGGCTCGCTAGCCTCCTGGGTTCAAGCGATTCTCTGCCTCACCCTCCCGAGCAGCTAGGACTACAGGCCTGTGCTACCAGGCTCAGCTCATTTTTTTTGTGTCTTTACTAGAGACGAGGTTTTACCGTGTTGGTCAGGCTGATCTTGAACTCCTGACCTCAAATGATCCACCTGCCTCACCCTCCCAAAGTGCTGGGATTACAGGTGTGAGCCAAATTTTAAAAGTAGAGACTAGAGTCGATACACACCAGGTCAGGGATGACGGGAGGATCAGAGCCATCCACGCAATCCACGTGACTTCCATGTGCTGCGTCCCCGGTAAAAGCCTTGCCACAGTGGTCCCGGGTGGCACCAAAGGAGGGAGGAACAGCTAGGGGACACGCCAAGCAGCTCCATGCCCTTCCCAGTTTCTCCTCAGGCCAGCCGTAGCTGAGGAATTGTGATTTTTTTCCCCCAGAAATGAGTTGTTGTTTTTAAGGGGTATAATAAGAACATCTTCTTTCCTTTTTTAATACGTTCCGCCTTCCAAATCATAAGCTAGACTGCTGCTTGAAGAACTCCCTGGCTCTGTAATTCAACAGTTGCTACAAATCATTCTTGCCTTTCCTCATAGATATTCTAAATCCTGGGAGTTCACTCAGCTGCATGTTAGTCAGGAAATGCCTTTAGCTCCTTGACATGCAGGATGAGAAGCACAGGATTACATGAAGTTACTTAGTTACTTGCTGGGCCTGATAGGTCCAGTGGTCTACTGGCTGGGCCCTCAGGTGGGCTGTAACCTTGACTGTTGTGATAACGGCTGTTAGTCTTCGGGTAACGTGTTTATTCTGAGGCAGGAAGTAGCCGCGAAAATTATAACCCGTTTGCTGTGGAAATTCCTCATTCATTACATATGAGGGCAGAATGGGAAAATGCTGGAGGAATCCGTGTTTTCTCTCTAGGTTATTTTCACTTCTCTCTTCATTCCCCGTCTCTATCCCAGTCACAGAACCTCTGCTTTATTATTTTCTTTGCTATATTTGACTTGTTCCCATCCCAACTTTCTTTCACCTTTGGAAGGAAAGAACATTTAAGGCAAAAAGAAAAATGAACATGAAATCTGAAAATAATGGAACAAGTGTATACTCTGGACGTTAGAACCTTAAGAGCTGGTCTCTTCACATTAAACAGAGGGTTTATTGATTGCCCACTATGTGCTAGGCTGTGTGCCATATCCACCTGCTAACCGTCCTAATGGAGTTTACAGTCCCGTTGCGAAGGCAGTTAAACAATTGCAATAAAGTGTGACAAAGGCTGTGGTAAGAGGCATGGGGTTTTGCACAGGAAATTAACAATGGGTCTTTCCTTTAGATCCTAGACATCTTGGGTCTGGGTTCCTCCGGACCACCCATTCCGCCTCCTGCCTTATTCTCAATCGTCTCATACCCTGTGAAACGGCCGCCTTTGTCCAGGACAGACACACTGGGGCATTTTGTGTTTGTGATCCCACCATCTGAAGACGCGTCTCTCGATGAAAGAAGAGAAATGGAAATAGAATCAGACCTTCTGGCCTTCACAAACACTACCAAGGTAACACATGAGCAATTTATTCTCCTAACCTTGGCAGGACTTCAGCGGGCAGGGAGAAAAGGTCACCCTCCACCAGACCGAAAACAGAGCCTGGCATGAGGTGTTCTGCTCACTGGGTTCTTTTCCCTCAACTTGTTGGGGATCCTCCCTGAAAACCTCATGTGAGCCTCCCTGAACTGCACCTTCCCTGGGTCTGACTTGTCCTGCATCCCAAGAGGAAACTGACAATGATTGATTCTCACCTAAAAACCTTTGCTGTCCCAATGGGAGGGTTTAGGAAACTTGTCGAATTACTGTTCAGCACACCCACAATAAAAAATAAGAAAAGCTAGCACTTTTAAAAAGATCTAATCTTTTTAAAAATGTATTTTGAAGCTAAGGTGATTCAGACAGTGTGTAAGAATACAAGAATCAACACACACAAGTTAAGGGCACACATGTCATTACAGAAAGGATAAATTATTAAAGAAATTAGGATGGGAAGATTGGAGGTTTTGGGTAAAGTCACTGTTTATGTCCTAGCCTGACACAATATAGTAAAATATATTCCAGCTCAATTAAAATATAAATAATCAAAATAAAATTGTGCAGAAATAAAAGAAAATATATGCAGTTAATAGAAAACATCACAAGAAAAATAAATTTGACCAATAATATGCAGAAAGTGTGAATATTTACAATTATAGAAGGTTTTTTTATTCCCAGAGGAGAAGCGTGGCCCACAATTTGAATCTCTGCACACAGCCTTCTACAAACCATGCACATCAGCAAAGAGAGCTCGAAATTTCACCTATAGGTCCTGCCTATACGTAAATTGGTGACAGAGACTACCCCAAACCTCAATTTACAAGTAGATAGGAAATCAACATCTGAGATCAGTAGCATTGGTGGGCATGCCTCACCCAAGCAGAGAATCCCCGGTGAAATTTCAAATTAAAAAGATGAAGAAAAAACGTCCATCAACCTCTTATTTTGAAAATTGGCTGGCTGGGCACTGTGGCTCACGCCTGTAATCCCCCACTTTGGGAGGCTGAGGTGGGTGGATTGTTTGAGCCCAGATGTTTGAAACCAGCCTTGGAATGTGGTGAAACCCCATCTCTACAAAAATTACCCAGACATAATGGCATGCACCTGTAGTCCCAGCTACTCAGGAGGATGAGGTGGGAGGATCACCTGAGGCCTGGAGGCAGTTTGTAGTGAGCCAAGATGGTGCCACTGTATTCTGGCCTAGGCTATACAGCAAGATCCTGTCTTAAAAAAAAAAGAGAGAGAGAGAGAGAGAGAGAAAGAATAGAAAGGAAAGAAAGAAGAAAGGAAGGAAGGAAGACAGGAAGGGAAGGGAAAGAAGGGGAAGGGAAGGGAGGAATGGGAGGGAGAGAAGGAAGGGAAGGGAAGGAAGGGAAGGGAGGGAGGAAGGAAAGGAGGGCGGGAAGGGAGGGAGGGAGGGAGGGAAGGGAAGGAGGGAGGGTGGGAGGGAAGGGAAGGAAGGGAGAGGGAGAGAAAGAAAGAGAAAGAAAAAGAAAGAAATTGAGCCATGAAAAAGAAATAATTGTTTAACCTATCATTTTAGAAGGAAATTTAATTCCTCCCCAGTAGACAAATGAAAACTCTTTATTCTAGAAGACTGGCAGCTTAAAATTATAGAAAAATTGGTTGAACTTGAAAATTACTGTTTGTTATCCCTGGTGAAATAATTGATTAAGGATCATCAAAAGTTGCAAAAAGCACTAGGTGAAAGGTTGTTGGGAAAGAAGACACTCATATCAGTCTGAACACCAGCCCACAGGTCAGGTGACTGCAGGCCTCACAGGGAAGAATGCAGTTCACTGTGGGTTGACACCACCTTACCAACGGGAGCATACTTGGCGTTTGCAACCATGGGTCATCCTGACTTGTTCATGTTGTGATGGAGTATGAAGTCCATGGCATCATCTACAAATCTAATTAAGCTTTTGAGCCTAGTTTTCAGTTTGCAGGAAATACAGGGAATAAGTTAAATGACACTGTAAGAATGGTCAGAAAAATCCAGACTGTGGGGTATTTTGTAAGAACACAAATTTGGTATCTCCAAAAATGCAATGTAATTGAGAGACGGGGCAGGAGGGTCTAGATTAAAAGATACTAAAGAAATATAACAGATCATGGTGGACAGGAGGCAGGACTAGATTGCAGCTCCAACTCGGATGGACAGAGCAGCATGAGGGGACCTACATTGTGAATTTTAGCTCCAGAACAACTGCAGGAATAAATTAGGATACCTGAAGAGATCCACAGACCCTCTGAAATCAGCAGACAGCTCCTGGAGGACCCAGGAGACACCCCAAATGCTGTGAGTGCCCAAACTGTGGAAGTGGGAAAGGAAGATCCTCCGCCCCTGCACACACACTCACACTGGGGAAACTGAAGGCCTAGTTGACAGGAGAAGATTCCAACCTTACCTGGAGCTGAGTCAATTTAGAGAGCTGAGTGAAATACAGAGGTAAAGGAAGCAGCGGGAAAGGCCCTGGGAGCTCCCCAGGTCCCCAAGCAGGCCATTCCTTTCTGACATCACAGGGATCCTTTGGGAGGGTGGCCAGAGGCCCAGAGAAAATGCCACAGGGAGAAGGAAGCCTGCAGCTGAACTTTGTAACAATTTGAACTGGACAAGAAGCCTCTTGGCCAGAACTCTGGGGAGGGCACAGATCCAGCATGCAGACTCTACAAGCAGGGGAATAACTAAAGCCATACTTGCTTCTGCAGCTGGTAGGCTGGTAGCCTGGGACAAGTTCTCAGCCCTGCTTGCCCACTGACTGGAAACAGACTCAATGCTGTTGGTCAGGGCACAGTGGGAGTAAGACTGGCCCTTTGGATTGCATGGGAGCTAGGTGAGGCCTGTAACTGTTGGCTTTTCCCCACTTAACCTGTATGACTCAGCAAAGGCAGCCATAATCCTACTAGGTGCATAATTCCATTGACCTGAGAACCTCACCCCCATCCCCTACAGCAGCCACAGCAAGACCAGCCCATGGAGATTCTGAGCTCAGACATGCCTAACCCTGCGCCCAACTGATGATCCTTCCATACCAACCCTGATATCTGAACATAAAGCACATATACTCCTGGGAGTTCTAGGACACCATCCAGCACTGGTTCCTCTCCATACTACCACAGCTGATGCTCTCTGGAAAGCGCCACCTCTTGTCAGGAGGCCAACCAGCACAAAAATAGAGAACCACCAAAGCTGAGAATCCTCACAGAGTTCATTTCACCTCCCTGACACCTCCACCAGAACAGGGACTGGTGTCCATGGCTGAGAGACCCATAGATGGTTCACATCACAGGACTCTGTGAAGATAACCCCCAGTACCAGCCCAGAGGCTGGCAGACTTGCTAGGTGGCTAGACCCAGAAAAGAGATAACAATCACTACAGCTTGGCTCTTAGGAAGGCACATATATGGGAAAAGGGGGAGCATACTACATCAAGGGAACACCCTGTGGAACAAAAGAATCTGAACAACAGTCTTCAGCCCTAGACCTTCCCTCTGACAGAGCCTACCCAAATGAGAAGGAACCAGAAGACCAACTCTGGCAATATAACAAAACAAGACTCTTTATTACCCCCAAAAAATCACACTAGCTCACTGGCAATAGATTCAAATCAAGAAGAAATTCCTGATTTATCTGAGAAAGAATTCAGGAGGTTAGTTATTAAGCCAATCAGGGAGGCATCAAAGAAAGGTGAGCCCTAATGCAAGGAAATCCAAAAAACGATACAAGAAGTAAAGGGAGAAATATTCAATGAAGTACATAGCATAAAAAAGCCAAAGCTTCAAGAAATATTGGACACACTTAGAGAAATGCAAAACGCTCTGGAAAGTCTCAGCAATAGAATTGAACAAGTAGAATAAAGAAATTCAGAGCTCAAAGACAAGATCTTTGAATTAACTCAATTCAACAAAGGCAAAAGAGAATAAGAAAATATGAACAAAGCCTCCAAGAAGTCTTGGATTATGTAAAATGACCAAACCTAAGAATAATCAGTGTTCCTGAGGTAGAAGAGAAATCTAAAAGTTTGGAAAACATATTTGGGAGAATACTCAAGGAAAACTTCCCCAGCCTTGCTAGAGACCTAGACATCCAAAACAAGAAGCACAAAGAACACCTGGGAAATTCATCACAAAACGATCATCACCTAGGCACATTGTCATCAGGTTATCTAGTTAAGATGAAGGAAAGAATCTTAAGAGCTGTGAGACAAAAGCACCAGGTAATCTATTATAAAGGAAAACCTATCAGATTAACAGCAGATTTTTCAGCAGAAACCCTAGAAGCTAGAAGGGATTGGTGCCCTATCTTCAGCCTCCTCAAACAAAACAATTATCAGCCAAGAATTTTGTATCCAGCAAAACTAAGCATCGTATATGAAGGAGAGATGCAGTCTCTTTCAGACAAATGCTGAGAGAATCTGCCACTTCCAAGCCAACGCTATAAGAACTGCTAAAAGGAGCTCTAAAATTTGAAAAAAAACCCTGGAAACATCAAAACAGAACCTTTTTACAGCATAAATCTCACAGGATCTATAAAACAAAAATACAATTTAAAAAAAAAAAAAAAAAAAAAAAAAAAAAAAACCTTTTTAAAAAAAAAAAAAAAAAAAAACAAAAAAAAAAAAAAAAAAATTAAAAAAAAAAAAAAACAAATAACCAAAGTACACAGGCAACAAATAGCACTATTAATGGAATGGTACCTGACATCTCAATACTAACATTGAATATAAATGCCTATATGCTTTACTTAAAAGATACAGAACTGCAGAATGGATGTGAATTAACCAAACAACTATCTTCTGCCTTCGAAAGACTCATCTAGCATATTAGGACTCACATAAACTTAAAGTAAAAGGGTAGAAAAAGTGAGCAGGAGAAGCTATGTTCGTATCAGACAAACTTTAAAGCAACAGCAGTTTAAAAACAAAAAGGGACATTACGTAATGGTAAAAGACCTTGTCCAATAGGAAAATATCACAATCCTAAACATATATGCACCTAACATTGGAGCTCCCAAATTTATAAAACAATTACTAATAGACCTAAGAAATGAGATAGACAGCAACACAATAACAGTGGGGACTTCAATACTCCACTTACAGCACTAGGCAGGTCATCAAGACAGAAAGTCAATAAAGAAACAGTGAATTTAAACTATACCTTGGAACAAATGGACTTAACAGATATATACAGAACATTCCATCCAACAACCACAGAATACACATGCTACACAACAGTTTATAGAACTTTCTCCAAGATAGACCATATGATAGGCCGCAAACAAGCCTCAATAAATTTTTAAAAATTGAAATTATATCAAGCACTCTTTCAGACCACAGTGTAATAAACCTGGAAATCAACTCCAAAAGAAACCTTCAAAACCATGCAAATCCATGGAAATTAAATAACCTGCTCCTGAATGATCACTGGGTCAAAACCAAAATCAAGATGGAAATTAAAAAATTCTTAAAACTGAATGACAGTAGTGACACAACATATCAAAGTCTCTGGGATACAGCAAAGGTGATGCTAAGAGGAAAATTCATAGCCCTAAATGCCTACATCAAAAAGACTGAAAGAGCACAAACTGACCATCTAAGGTCACACCTCGAGGAACTAGAGAAACAAGAACAAACCAAACTCAAACGCAGCAGAAGAAAGGAAATAGCCAAGATCAGAGCAGAACTAAATGAAATTGAAACAAAAAAAAAGCCATACAAAAGATAAGTGGGGGAAAAAAAGCTGGTCTGAAAAGATAAATACAACTGATAGACCATTAGCAAGATTAACCAAGAAAAAAAAAGAGAGAAATCTAAGTAACCTCCATAAGAAATGAAACAGGAGGTATTACAACTGACACCATAGAAATGCAAAAGATCATTCAAGGCTTGAACACCTTTACACTCATAAACTAGAAAACCTAGAAAAGATGGATAAACTCCTGGAAAAAAATACAATCCTCCTAGCTTAAATCAGGAAGAACTAGATACTCTGAAAAAACCAATAACAAGCAGTGAGATTGAAATGGTAATTTAAAAATTACCAACAACAACAAAAAAAAGTCCAGGACCAAATAGATTCACAGAAGAATTCTGCCAGACTTTCAAAGAAGAATTGGTATCCTATTGGCACTATTCCACAACATAGAGAAAGAGGGAACCCTCCCTAATTCATTCAATGAAGCCAGCATCACCCTAATACCAAAACAAAGAAAGGACACAACCCAAAAAAGAAAACTGCAGACCAATACCCCTGATGAACATAGATGCTAAAATCCTTAACAAAATACTAGCTAACCAAATCCAACAACATATCAAAAAGTTAATCCACCATGATGAAGTGGGCTTCGTACCATGGATGCAGGGATGGTTTAACATATGCAAGTCAATAAATGTGATACACCACATTAACAGAATTAAAAATCACACAATTATCTCAATAGATGCAGAAAAAGCTTTCGACAAAATCCAACATCCCTTTATGATTAAAACTCTGCAAAATCAGCATACAAGGAACATACCTCAATGTAATAAGAGCCATCTATGACAAACCCCCAGCCAACATAATACTGAATGGGGAAAAGGTGAAAATGTTCTCTCCAAGAACTGGAACAAGGATGCCCCATCTCACCACTCCTCTTCAACATTGTACTGAAAGTCCTAGCCACAGCAATCAGACAAGAGAAAGAAATAAGGGTATCCAAATCGGCCAAGAGAAAGTCAAACTGCTGATGACATGATCACTTACTTTGAAAACCCTAAGACTCCTCTAGAAAGCTCCTAGAACTGATAAAAGAATTCACCAAAGTTTCTGGATACAAAATTAATGTTCACAAATCAGTAGCTGTTCTATACACCAACAATGACCAAGCAGAGGATCAAATCAGGAACTCAGTAATTCCTGATTTTACAATAGCTGCAAATAAATAAATAAATAAAATAAAATATTTAGGAATATACCTAACCAAGGAGGTGAAAGACCTCTAAAAGGAAAACTACAAAACACTGCTAAAAGAAATCATAAATGATACCAACAAATGGAAACACATCTCATGCTCATGGATGGGTAGAATCAATATTGTGAAAATGACCATTATGCCAAAATCAATCTACAAATTCAATGCAATTTCTGTCAGAATACCATCATCATTCTTCACAGAATTAGGAAAAACAATTCTAAAATTCATATGGAACCAAAAAAGAGCCCACATAGCATGTAGCAAAAGCAAGACTAAGCAAAAGGAACAAATCCGGTAGCATCACACTACCTAATTTCGAACTGTTCTCTAACGCCATAGTCACCAAAACAGCATGGTACTGATGTAAAAATAGGCACACAGACCAATGGAACAGAATAGAGAACCCAGAAATAAATCCAAATACTTACAGCCAACTGGTCTTCAACAAAGCACACAAAAACATAAAATGGGGAAAGGACACCCTTTTCAACAAATAGTGCTAAGATGATTGGCTAGCCACATGTAGGAGAATGAAACTGGATCCTCATCTCTCACCTTATACAAAAATCAACTCAAGATGGATTAAGGACTTAGTAAGACCCGAAACTATAAAAATTCTAGAGGATAACATTGTAAAAACCCTTCTAAACATTAGCTTAGGCAAGGATTTCATGACCAAGAACCCAAAAGCAAATGCAATAAAAACAAAGATAAGTAGCTGGGGCTTAATTAAGCTAAAGAACTTTTGCACAGCAAAAGAAACAGTCAGCAGAGTAAACAGACAACCCACAGAGTGGGAGAAAATTTTCACAATCTATACTCCCGAACATGGACTAATATCCAGAATCTACAGCAAAGTCAAACAAATCAGCAAGAAAAAAGCAAAGAATCCCATCAAAAAGTGGGCTAAGGACATGAATAGACAATTCACAAAAGATACACAAAATGAAACATGCTCAACATCACTAATGATCAGAGAAACGCAAATCAAAACCACAATACAATACCACCTTACTCCCTCAAGAATGGCCATAATCAAAAAATAAAAATAAAAACCCGTAGATGTTGGCATGGCTGTAGTGATCAGGAACACTCTTCTACACTGCTGATAGGAATGTAAACTAGTACAACCACTGTGGAAAACAGTGTGAAGATTCCTTAACTGAAAGTAGAACTACCATTTGATCTAGCAATCTGACTACTGGATATGTACCCAGAGGAAAAGAAGTCATAAAGATACTTGCACACACATGTTTATAGCAGCACAATTCACAATTGCAAAATCATGGAACCAACCCAAATGCCCATCATCAACAAGTGGATAAAGAAACTGTGATAACTCAGGAATGGCAAACATTGTATGTTCTCACTGATAGGTGGGAACTAAGTTATGAGGATGCAAAGGCATAAGAATGATACAATGAACTTTGGGGACTTGGGGGAAGGGTGAGAGGAGGGCAAAGGATACAAGACTACAAATAGGGCACAGTATATACTGGGCAGGTGATGGGTGCATCAAAATCTCACAAATTGCCACTAAAAAGCTTACTCATGTAATCAAACACTACCTGTACCCCCAGTAACCTATGGAAAAATAATAAAAAATTTAAAAAAGAAACATAACAAAGAAACACAATATAGGAAATTTGATTAGGTATCTATTGGGGAAGACAGGCGCTGCCTAGAAATTTCCCATCTAGGCTTACACTCACCTACAGGAAATTTTGCACATGAACATCAAAAGGTTTAAGAATTTTCTCA